GCAGAATGCTAGCCTTGGACCCGAAGACACCCAGCTGCCTTCAGAGCAGTTACGATTCCTTGGCTTCACCCAACCTTGCAGGATTCATTGGGAGGAGAGAACGAGAAGAACAATGAAGCAACTTGCACGCCAAAAGGAAGCAAGAACAAATTGTCATAGCAAGTCCTTGCATATCCATCCACAAATGAAATTGCATCTCAGACCAAATAAGAATAATTACACGGTGGCTTCTGAATATTCAAACGCCTTCCGGTATAATTAATTCATTAATTATTCCCCAGAAAAATTAATAAACCCACATCACCTAGGGCTTTCTCGCAAGGAAGCTGTACCCCGCCTCCTGACGCAGCCAGCCCGGTGACAGAAGAGTGATGGCCCTAAGGCCCAAGCTCCCCCAGGACTTCTTAGGAAGCGCAATAGAGAGCATGCTTTCAAACACTGGCAGCACCAGGCTCTCCTCTAAATCAACCCAAGCTTCCTTTAATATGCTGATTTTTATTGTGAAATGAGACTCACCCTAGAGACTAAATGTTTGCAAAATAGTCCGTCCTCTCTCTTGTTAACAGGGAGGGGTGTTCTGGGCTGGGATCATGGTGCATGAAGACAGGGGTTCAGTATTTCTATCCTTGCACCATTTCCCCAAGCTACCCCCATTATTTGTTTATTTCCCCAGAAGCACCCCCCCCCGGCAAAGACATTATGAAAACCTGTATTCCCATACATACACCACAATTTATAACAGTATATTATCTACAAAACATGTTTTTTTTTTACGTGATCCACAAGTTAGCATTCTTACAGATCTGAAGTAAAGGAGTTTGGGCTGCAAGGGCAGCCAGAACTGCTAGGGTTAGTGAATGTTATAAATGAATCCAAACGAAGATTTATTTTCTGGAAATAATGACAAGCCAAGAGCTGCTGTCTAAACAGCGAGTGTTTTCAAAAGTGGGGGTGCGGCTACTCTTTTAAACTACCGGTAAGCCACTCATCCAGGGTATTGGTAGGTACTTTAAACCACCGAGGGCACAAATCTGCAAAGATAAAAATGCACATGCTAATTTATATGCATACATTCCTTTGGGCTAATTTGAGACAGTGGGTGGCTGGGGTCTCCCTTGCCACTGTTCTTTGCTTACAGGCAGCTGAGCACTCTGCCGTTTTTGTTTTTTAATTTAAATATTCTTTAAAAACATCGGGGGGAGGGAATGGGGTAAGAGATCCAGAGCCCTGCACACAAGTCTCAGGGTTCAGGACTTCTGGACCATCCTCTACCAACACTCCAGCCATTTAGCTAGAAACATGGTTTTAGATGAACAGCTTACTGGAGCTGTCTTTGGAGCCTTGGGGTGGGGGGTGATGATAGAAATACTGGCTCTGTATACGATCAAAGTACCACAACAATGTTATATGTGGAAATTCAGAAAAGCAAAGTCCCTCAGAAACAGACACACTGCAAAAATTATGGGAACAGGTTGAAATGATTCCACCGGCATCTTTGTTGAAGGATACCATAAATTTCAGAAAAGAACTGGACCTGCACGATACAATAGATATAGGAAAGAAGTTAGGTTTTTAAAGGAACAGAGGTAGACTATATATTACTACCCAGCATCATCACGTTAGATGTTAAGCTTTCTTGTCCAATAGTAATAATAATAATGTCACACAAAGCAAAACTCCCAGGGCTTGCTCTACAAAAGGAAGTCCTGTGTGCACAAAATGACCTTTAACACCAAACAAAGAATTACAGGCTCAATCCATTAAGAACTCCTGCCACCTATTTCAATAAGAATATGGAAGGTAAAGATTCACACAAAAGTCCTGTACATTTTCATCAGTGTAAATAAGGGCTCAAAGTTAAGTTACTAAACCATCTAGGCCAGATCAGACAAGAGCTTCTACCTTGACCTGACCCCTACAGGGTGTCTGTGCACAAGTGAAGCCACAGCTCAGTGGCAAACCACATGTTTTGCATGTGATAAATTTTAGGTATAATCCCCCAAATATGGTAGGGTTACTTTCTGAAACCTTGGAGAGCTGCTGCCAGTCAGAATAGACAATACTGGGCCAGATGAGTCTGATTTGGCATGAGACGGACTTCCATGTTCTAACATTCCTAAAGGTGCACATGTGTACAGTTCAATCTCTGTAGGCCCAGATTCACTCCAAAGTCTGGGCTTAGGCTCATTACATATAATTCTTTGGTTTATGATTGTGTACACTGGATGCGTTTTCTCTGTTAACCCAGTTTGTCCAGACTGCAATCAGTTTTCACGTACGGCATATTCTAGCTGCAGCTGTTTCCTGAGCCTTATTATGGGATAGAGGAGCTGTCCTTGCTCGACCAGTCAGTCTAGAAAGTGAGTTTGCCTCCTCCTGCTGGTGAGGAGGCAAAAGACTGGCAGGAAGCTGACTAATCTAACCAGTGTTAGGTGCTACCCCATATTTTAGGAATGCCCTTCAGCATCATCCAGCAAATGCCCCTAACCACTGGTTCCCTGGTTAAAAAATTCTCCCAACACTCAAATCAAAGCTTTGAAACCATGGAGTGCAGATTGCTGAATACTAAGAACCAACTCTTTTACATTGCTACACTACTACTTTTAGCTATAGATGTAAGCAGAATTTACAGGAATAAACAGAGTAGCCTAAAAAGCCTTTTATAAACTATTGGTATGATAATGAAAAGAGAAAAAGAAAAGAAAAAGGAGAGCCTGGAAATCAGAATGCTAGGAATAAAAGCCAAACACACACAGAGGGAGGAAAAATCTTGCTTTATAATTATAGACAACCATGTAATAGAATCAGTCCTCATTACTCGCAATACATTTCCCAATCATATCAGTTTTTGAGCCTGAAGAGCAAGCTCAGAGGAAGCACATGGCTGATGGTTGAAGCATACATTTGGTGTGCATCCTTTCCGACAAAGTTTCCAGTCTGCCTTATATTTGCCCAGGCTTTTCCTGACCCATAAAATTGGACCATGTTTTATGTGTTTGAATATGCTTTATTCCTCTTTTATATGCTTTTCTGGTGTTTTTTTAGATTGCTGTCCCATTTGTTTTAGGTTGTGTTTTTATTTTAATCACATATCATTTGGGGTTTTTTTTAAAGACAGTACACCACTTAGAAGTTTTTGAAATATTTTGTTGTATATAAATGCTTTTAAAAATAAATAAAACAAATAAGAGGCAACATGACCAAGCAAGCGGGCCATCCATATCCAACATAGGTTTCAGGAACAGCCTGGTCTTGAAACAACGGAATGTGAGCAAACGCTCCAATGGCAGTAGAGCTAGTGATCTGGTTGAGTCCTGGTCTCACCATGGGATGGTAAGATGAAGACACGATTGTTCCTAAGGGTCCTCTCCAATGCTGCAGGGTCCATAGTGCCCTTTAGTTTACCAAGGAGTTGTAGATGATGAAGGGGCAGCACTTTGGCACCCGCATTGCATCTTCAATGAGCCATCCGGGGTGTGTGTGTATTCCAGGTGGTTCAGAAGCTAATCATACCCGAAGTGGGCCTTGGCCCACCGGGTAACATGCTGTGCACTGTTTGCATGGCACTTGGATGATAAAGTCACTCAGCTCTGTAGCACCTTGGACACAGCAGTATCTAGCTGTTGTATCTAACGCAGCACCTCCCATACCAGACCCAGAATTTTGAGATGTGACGGGCTGCCTGCCTGCTCTCATGTACACAATGGCCTAGACATTTGCCAAGTGTGTGATATTTGGCAACACATGAGAACATACTCAGTACCTGCAACACACCTGTGGAATGTATTCCCATCACAGATTCTACTGCCACCAAACCTGATGTGTTTTTAGAACCATTTAAGAACCCATTTATTCACCCAGGCCAGGGGTCTGCAACCCGCGGCTCCGGAGCCGCATGTGGCTCTTTTACACCTTTGCCGCGGATCCGGGGCGGATACTAGCGAGGGGAGGAGGCGCATTGTGCGCCCCGACACTCCCCACTGTGGCGGGCGCTGTACTGGCTGTGACGTTGCATGGGGGCAGTGTGTGCGTTAGTCACGCACCGTCCCGACGTCACCTTCCCACCCGCTGTCAGATCGGAGGGCAGCGGCGCACATGCTTTAAATGTTGCAATGGTTTTGCGGCTCCCAGGTTGTTTTTTCTTCGGAAACGGGTCCAATTGGCTCTTTTTGTCTTAAAGGTTGCAGACCCCTGACCCAGGCCTTTGGCTGAACTGGCTGTGGAATTGAGCAGTCTCCCCTTTCTGACTTGTCAAACAACTTTATGCAACGATGAATTTGTTAGTTTTATCAAAAAAAATTCCTTCCAGTAGCACCTTAAAGACCAACTAAGTTAGTTCTTGGTATGAGCTTTCGTGTGCATGCACACTTCTTCAGATACCAGATGCATGCACACGAAAGCTCATACCAAGAACTAACTTAGTTGGTCTTTAAGGTGCTACTGGAAGGAATTTTTTTTGTTTTGACTATGGCAGACCAACACGGCTACCCATCTGTAATTGTTAGTTTTATGTAACTGGCTTTATTGTGTATCTATGTTTTGTATTGTAACCCGCCCTGGGGTTATTTTGTAATAATGAGTGGGCTATAAATTCTCTGAATCAGGTTATCTTCAACCTTTTCACACCAAGGACCCACTTTTAACCCAAACATGTCTTTGGGGACCCATTTCTTATTTTTTTTACCCATTTATTTGTATGGTTATAGGGCTCTTGTTGCGACTCATCTTGGATCAGGCTGCAACCCACTAGGGGGTCCTGATCCAGCAGCTGAAGACAAGTGCTCTAAACAAATAAACAGTTAATCCCAGATCGTTCCCTGAAATGCTAGCCAGTAAACCTCACTTACGATTTCTTCCCATTAGAAAGTATTGCAGTGTATTGATTGGTGAAATACTTCTCAAATACACAGCCAACTGACAGGCAAAGGAGAAAATGCCCGCCAGGACATGAAACTCCAGACATCATTTGCTTTTCATAACAGGACAATAAGTCTGCATACCTGGAACATCAATTAATCTCTTGTAGACATTCAAGAATGCTGCCTCGGCTTCTTTGCTTCTTTTGCCCAAAGCATCAATCTGGAAAATAAAAGGGGGAGAAGAAAGGATCTTCAGATCAGTTATAGAGGAAGAAAATACAACCACTTACACAAGCAAGGGTAAATTTATGACTTCATAAACATTTCTGAGGATGCCAGTTCATGTCTCCTTTAAAGCTAGAAGGTCAGAGCTCCACATGAGAACAGCAGGATTGGAAAAACATTTCCAGTTCCTTAGTGTGGGCATCAGGTTTTAATTTTTTACTACCAGCCTTTTATAGCCAGCTCTGGTTCCTGCAAAGAGGAGGGTAGAGTGAGGAGGCAGCAAGAAGAGGCAGCAAGGAACAGGAATTCCTAGTATCTCAGACTGTCCAGCAAGCCTGACTCATAGACACTCTGCAGAGTGGCCTGTGGCTGCTGCGACTTGCTTGGCTGGTCCTCCTATAGTTCCTCCTCCTTGGCCAGAGCAATGCACTGACATCTCATTGTGTCAACAATCCTAGACCCACTGGGGACTAAAGTCCTGACATTTGCAGGCTGAATGGACTTCTTAGATTTAGAGGTGCAGGCAAACCGTCGTTATTGTGGCTATTCCTTTTTTGGGCATATTTTTATTCATTTTTAAGAATAATATCTAGGTACAGAATAAAAAATATCTTCAGTAGTACATATGTTTGTCATTTTTAAGTCAGCAACAGTTATGGCAGAGGTTGAGGAATGCCATGCATCAAGGAACGATAGAACAAATAACTATTCTGCGCGCGCACATCCGTTGCTATAGCTATCCTATGTGCGAATTTTGTTGTTGCTAATGAATCTCCCCTCTGGCATAAACTACTAGGTAGTCTTAAGCAAGCTACTCTCTCTCTCTTTCTCAATCTCAACTCTCCCATATGTAATATGGGTATAATACTGACCTCGCTTACAGGGCTTTTGTTCACACCACAGCATGATAATGAATGTGAAGAGCTTTCAACACATGAAGATGCTATACAATGCTAAGAATTATTTATTAATAATAATTCTATTGGCGGCAATAGTATCAGCACCATTGCTATCATAATCATTGTTTCCTTCTATATTTGGGGAGATGGGCTACCTTGATGCCTCCTGCTTTTTCCAAAGAAGCCACAGCAAAGTGGTTGGCACAGAAGCATTTTGTAATTTCAACATTTATTCTCTCATTAACAGAGAAAGCACATCTGGTTAAAAGGTGTCAGCAAGCACAGAAACCATGCAATGTACCAGTTTAAGGGTTTATTTCACTTTGCTCTAGAATTCTAAGAGACGTCAATTTTACTCTGTTTACAGTCTCATTTATCATGACTTGCAGTGGCTTGACAGGAAATAAGGCTATTTGCAATATACTATCCAGGTTGGGTAATTCCTCTCAAAAATTGCTTTGCACATGAGACTGGTGGTGGATCAGTATGTAGGAAAAAGCAGAGCACCCTAGTCCAAAATATCCCACAGACCTAATTGCTTCCTAGGCCTCTCTGCTGACCATCTTCTCAATCTCATCCAACCCAGGTTGGTCTCCTAGCTTTAGGCCTTATCTCAAGTCATCTCAAACCCTCCCCATGTCCCTGGCCCCTTCATCCTTTCTCAGGTTCAACTTCTTGTGCTCTGTGAACCAGAAGACCTTTAGAGACTGATGTGCTTTGTGTATATCCATGTCTTAACATTGCCCTCACCGCACATGCTGCCTATTCTGGGTCTGGCAGACACAATGACACAGCTTCCTTCCCGGCAAACTGGGACCTTAGGGTGAAGAGTGGGCAACCGATTGATTGATTGATTGATTGATTGACCGATTAAAGCAGCAACTGCAAGCAGTTGTGAAACTGCCCTGTAGCACCCCATGAAGCTCCAAGCGGTCACTTTGCCCATCTTTTCCAACCTGCACCACCCTGCACAATCGAGCAAGCAAACCCAGCAAGCAATTTGGGAGCTGTGGCCCAAGAAGCGCGATTAATAGAGAGCAGTGACACAGCTGTTGCTTCAGAACCAGGCCTGCCTCTCAACCAAGCCATTAACATGTCAGCTTAGGAAGCGATACATCCTAACAGCCCCATGATAAACAATGCATGCTCTAAACCATTATGTAGCACTTACTGGACAGGTACAATATCGGCTGCGCCAGGATCAATAAATGCACCTTTTTGCTTTTAATGCCAACAGCGAAACCTACATCATGAACTAATAGGCTGCAGCGTGTGCTTTATTTATCTCAGCAAAAAGGAAAAAGACAGCAACTTTCTACCAAATCGTCTTCTCTGGATTGAAAATTAACACACAAAAGAGTATAGCTAATTTCCAGGCAGTTTTAAAAACTGGGAATGCAAGCTATAAGTTGGCTGCCACTACAGAGAAGGTCGTATCCTGCATACCCACCAAATGAACTACAGATGGCACTGGCAACTGAGCAGGTCCTCCCCTAATTACAAAAAAGAGGGTAGGCTAGGAGGGTCATTTAAGTATCCTGATCCTAAACCATTTAGGGTTTGGAAATACAACAGAGTCCAGTGAAACTGGCATAAAAATGGAGCCATGTGGTCCCAAACCTGAGCCTAATCTTTCAATTTGTCTATTTGCAAGGCACCTGACTAAAGAGTTCCAGTCTTCTCAAAGACTTAACCATTTGCAAGCTTAAAGCAGGAGTTTTAAAGGAGATCCGTGTTATTTTTTTCTTTTCTTTTTTTCATTTTAAGGATTTGCTTTTTGCTGTCATCACTGCCACTTCGCAACATTCTGGAAGCCCCCCCCCCCCCCCGAATTCAGTACCTAGGGTCTACAAGGTAGGCACATGCCTACTGCTGCCAGAACAACCTACCACGTGTCTACACCATTTATCAAATGCTATGTTTCAGAGGGGAGCCAGTTGGCTGAGGCAGGACGCCTCCTCTCTGGTACGGAAAGGAGAAACGTGCCATTCTTCCACCTCTAGGACAGCCAAGCCTCTTTGGCACTCCATCACCAAACTTCAAGGTTTTCACACTTGCTGACTCTACCGCCACTGCCCAGCTTCGCCCTCCTTTCAGGATATGAGTAACTCCTGTCAGTTTCACCTCAGAGTTGCTCACCGCCTTCAAAGGGGAATCACATGGCCCACAATGATTTGGTTGGCATGGCACGAGGTACCCATGTCACTGGCTCACAGCCGCTGCTGGCTTGAGTGAAACAGCTCCTTGGCTCCGTCCACTCTGGGCAGACCATTCTGCAGTGAAGCTGTAGAGGGGCACACTATCCGCCCTTCGTAAACAGCACCAGTCAGATACTTTCAAGTGGAAGAACTCCAGGTCAGCTGGGTATTTCCAAGACCTCTCTGCGAAGCCAACAGACAATTCACAGGGAGGTTTTTGGAGTGGAAGGTGTCGCCCGCAAACTGATTGGGGAAACAGATTAGGCAGCAGTCTTCTGACATGCCCCAAATGCATCAAAACTGCCAGTCAGTGCGCTTGGAAAATCACAAAGAAAACAAGTTCTTTTCAGGACACAGTAACCTGCAATTTGACATTAAGTCTCTTTTAAAAGGGATTGGGGGTGGGAATGAGGGGAAATACTGGCTTTTTTCAACCCTTTCCCCCAAATGAAATCATGTGAACTCTTTATGCATCAATGCCTGACCCCCAAAACCAGGAAAACAAAACAAAACAGAATAAACACTCCATACTCCTTTCCTGAGACGTGGGTGGCGCTGTGGGTTAAACCACAGAGTCTAGGACTTGCTGATCGGCGGTTCGAATCCCTGAGATGGGGTGAGCTCCCGTTGCTCAGTCCCTGCTCCTGCCAACCTAGCAGTTCGAAAGCATGTCAAAGTGCAAGTAGATAAATAGGTACCGCTCCAGTGGGAAGGTAAACAGCGTTTCTGTGCACTGCTCTGGTTCGCCAGAAGCGGCTTAGTCATGCTGGCCACATGACCTGGAAGCTGTACGCCGGCTCCCTCGGCCAATAAAGTGAGATGAGCACCGCAACCCCAGAGTCGGCCACGACTGGACCTAATGGTCAGGGGTCCCTTTACCTTTACTCCTTTCCTACCCCTAAAATCCAAGTTGCACCCATCAAATCTTCTGTAGCCCAAGCCCATCACTACCACCACCACCTTTCCCCCCCACCCAAATCTCATCAAGGCACTTTGCTTTTCTCATGCTCCCTTATTCCCCTGTTCTCTTTGTCTCCCTCCTTGGAGCAGAGTCCTTACAACCTACAGCTGATCCAATGCCAGAGACAAGAGGAAGGCTCCTTCCCTGGCCATCCACAACACAGAAGTTGCTGCCGCCGCAGGGAGTAAATTAAAGGGTATCAATTATCCTGGAGGACATATTAGATTTGCTCCAGATTGTTTGGGTTTTATCACAATGGCTGAGTAAAACCTTTTAATCAAAAGGCTGCAACTTTCGGAGCCTCAATCAATGAAACAAAAAGCTGTAGATTTCGACACGTGACTTCCAAGATTTGGAGCAATTTGTAATAGCTTTGCTCAACGATCGCTTCTGGGAGCGATCTGGTGTGTCCCCCCCCCCCCGCCATTACATTGTTTCTGACTGCAACACTGCATTTATTCGACAGCAAAGCAGCTTTGGGTCTTGAAGAGGTTAACTTCTGGAGCACCTGGCTGCTCGCCAGCCTCTCTCCTCGAAATCAGTGCTAATGCAACAGAACAAGAAGCGCCCAGACTGGCCATGATTAATAGACTGCTGAAGACACTGCTTTCCACAGAACACACACTTTTCATTCCCCTGCTTCCATAGATCATGGACTTATCCTCAAAATATCTGACTGAAATTGAATTTGGCTTCTCTCTCAACCGTTCATTTCCTATGTTATGCAAGGTTATATCCTTTTTCTGCATGAGCAGAACCAAACCAGCTGCAGCTCCTCAGAAGGAAAATGTGGTTCCAATTACAAAAGCTGGCCTGGATATTGAACCACAGTTCAGATGCTGCTCTAATTGAGCCATCATGGAGCAAGTCTAAAGTAAAGAAATTGGATTAATTAGGTTTGCAAAGTTCAACGTAAGGGATCTTGGCAGCGGGATGGGGGCACTAAATAAAGCAGGTAATGCTATGAAAGAAAGCAAGGGAGGTGATGCTTTCACTGGAGTATTTGACATTCAACAAGCTTTTGGGTTGCACAGAACTCTTTTCCAGAAGTAGGTTTTTGATAGGGTATTCATGCCCTACGAATGATGACATTCACCAGGTAATCCAGCATAGTCTGGTTCTAAATGAGTAAATTGTATGATCTGTAACAAGCAGGAAATGGGCCTTAAACAAGGGGTTGTGCTCATTAATGCTTGGTAACTGGGACTATGCAAGACTGTGGACTTTCAGAACCTGTAAGGAGGGCCGAAGAGAGGAAGGCAAGAGCACACACTGTTACACCATCTGCTGCTGAAATATTTTGAAACAACAGAGGCTGCTCCTTCTCTGCCTGGCCCCCAGCCCAATTTAACAACGGCTAAATATAAAATTTAGCATATAAAAAAATATAAATATAAAATTTAGTACACACAGCTGCATCCATGAGCACCTATTGTTTTGGTGTGCCTTACTGGCTGATTTGGCACCATGGAACCCAGTTTATTAGTGGGTGCCACCCATTCATGTCCTAACATTTTCACCTTGTGCCTCCACATTAAAAATGACCGAATGGGTTTACCTTTAAAATCCCCTTGCCTTATCAAATGAGAACTCAAGAATGGCCGGCACAGAAAATGCACAGCTGGCCACGTTATTTCAGAATATCTGCCCTCCAGCAGGCTCCGGATTAGGAACTCCTCTGTTGCTCTTGGACAGCCCTGCTATGCCACATGAAAAGAATACGGATGACCTCAGGAAATCCTTACCCAGTCTTAAAAATAGCTGCTGAGTGACATCACAGAATCAGGTTTAGATGCTCCCTTTTCTAATATTCACATTTCTTTCTCTGTCTCAGAACAGTCAGTCTAGCCCAGGAAGCTTCAAAAAGCAGCAGTCATCAGCTTATATAAAGGGCCAATCCCACCGGAAACCTTTCTGAATTGTGTTCCGACTGCGTTCCTTTTGAACTGTGAAATTCAATCGTATGCATGGAGAGTTGAGCTTCCCTCTTATTTGTTTTCAGAAATTGGTGGAAGTATAGATCTTGATATTAAAAAGAGGCTAACCGTATTGAACTGTGCAGGGATAAAATTCAACGATAGCCCCCTAGCCAAGCTGGTGTGCTTAGAGTGTGCGACTAAGATGTCATGAACTCAAACCGCTACGCAGCCATGAAGTTCACTAGGTGAATATAAGAAGAGCTGGGTTGAAATCAGACCTTAGTCCCAGTTGGTCCAGATTTCTCACTCCCTCACCTGCCAATCCCATGCCTCTGGGAAGACCACGTGCAGGACATGAGTGTAATAGCCCCCTCCTGCCCTTGCCACCTAGTGATTGGTAGCATATACCGTATTTTTTGCTCTATAAGACTCACGTTTTCCCTCCTAAAAAGTAAGGGGAAATGTGTGTGCATCTTATGGAGCGAATGCAGACTGCGCAGCTATCTCAGAAGCCAGAACAGCAAGAGGGATTGCTGCTTTCACTGCACAGCGATCCCTCTTGCTGTTCTGGCTTCTGAGATTCAGAATATATATTTTTTCTTGTTTTCCTCCTCCAAAAACTAGGTGCGTCTTGTGGTCTGGTGCGTCCTATAGAGCAAAAAATACGGTAGTCAATACAACTTGTGGGAATTGTTCCAAGCTTAGCCTACCTTACAGGGCTGTTGTGAGGCTAACATGGGGGTGGGGAACATGATGCTCTGCGCTCCTCGGAGGAACAGTAGGATTACTTAAAGCATGCAAGCAAACCAATCAACCAACCAACCAACCAACCAACCAATAGACAACAACAATAACATGCAGTTGGGGTGTTTCAACTGAGCTCTTCTTCAAGGGAAATAGGTGGTAGGTGTGCCACATTTGTAAAGAGTTCCACAATTTTCTAAATGTCTCCTCAATGAAAACATGTGATGCTTGTCTCCCTGTCTTAACTCTAAACTTAAAGAGAGAAGAATACACCAAATATTGTGCTGCATGAGAGCAGATGCTGCTTATTTACAGGGCACGCCTATGTGATTTTTGGACCCCTTACCCACTTCCTATGAACTGCAGCCCCTAATGTCAAATTATACACTATGGGGCTGGCTCTTGGTATCCACTGCTAGGGAAGTTGGGATCACTATGTCAGGGAACGGTGTGGACCATCCTGGGTGTAGCTACCACCCCCTTCAAAGGGAAACTAATCAAATCTGCAACTCTGGCTCTTTTAGCAGTACAATTTCAAAAATAAAAACAAAATGGGCTAAGCTGTTTATGAATATTTTTTTTACTGAAAATGTTTTACCATCTCCTCCTGGTTTTGATGCATTTCACTCTTATTGCTGATTTGGTTTAATGAGTTGGTGGGGGAGTTATCCCATTATTATTATTATTAGTAGTAGTAGTAGTAGTAGTAGTAGTAGTATGCTAGTTTGGGAAATATAAACTTGAAAAGCAGTCTTGAAATAGAAGTAAATTAATGAGTTATGAATCAACAGCTCTGATTCCTCCCACCAGCAACATCTGGGCTCTGGGACAAACTACTCCCACCCCATTGTGGCCTTCCAATGAGAAAAAAGGTTGCCCACTTCTGATTGTGTGTTTCAATCACTTCTTCAGAGTGCTATTTTAACAGATACAAAGAAAAAAATACGATTGCGCTTAAAGGTAATCCTCATTAATGTAATACAAATTAAATCATGCTCTCATAAGAGGGAATCCCAGTCCTTAAAGGCAACATACACCACCTTGAAATAAAGGACATGAGAATAAAAAGCACAAACACTTACCTCGCCCTGGAAACTTTTCAGTAGTGGAGCTACCTGTTTGCGCAGGTCCTGGAAGATAAAAGCAAACACACACCCATTAAGAAACAGATCACTAAAAAAGCAGCAAAAAATGCAACTGTTTGAATGCATTTGATGTAATTCCATCAGTTAGTCTTGCAGCACTTCTACCAATTTTATCATATTAGCTGAAGGCTGATTACATTTTTAATCGAAACACTGCTACGAGCAAGGAGTTCAGCAGAAATCCATTTTTAACTGGCTTATGATTCCAGCCTGATACACAATTACGGTTGTCCCAAGGGAGGAGAATTAGTTAACAAAAGCCTGTAGTAATGTTGGATAATCAGTGAACTCCTTCAGTCTAACAACTCAACTGAAACAGTGCAATGAATGACTAATGGGATGTAAAACATGTGTAGCCACATGGAAAGGGATCAAGCTAGACCCCTGTTTGAAGCACAGCCTCCTCCTGACGAGCCAGGAATTGGGCATCATTTATTTAGATTTACAGCCTTGCCTGCTCCATGGGATTTACACAGCCCTGCTTAAGGAGAGGGAGCACACGTCATTTAGCAACCCACTTGCCTCTCTCCAAAATCCCCACCTCCAGAGGAGACAGGCCTTCATTGAGCTTTGCGCAAGGCCTTTTAATGCCCAGCCCCCAAAGTTGACACTCTCGTAATTGTAATTAAGAGAATCTAGGAGAGAAAATCCTCAAGGCAGAGAACAAAGAAACAAAGCAAAACACAAATAAAATCACCAAAAAGAATGGTGGGCAAAGAGATCAGATTGCAGCCAATAATAATAATAATAATAAATGATTAGGTGCCTTAAACTCTGACACCTTGAATGCATTGTGTGCAGAAGCCAGGGGTGTAAATTACAGAGAATTACAGAGTGTGCAGAAGCCAGGGGTGTAAATTTTAATAAAATAAAATTTTATTAAAATAAAATAAAAAAGGAACATCAGAACATGTGCCAGGCCAGTGTTTCAAGGGCCCAGATCCTGAATAATTTAGCTGATCTCACTGGGCAGCTGGTTCCATTATCTGGAGAGCAACACAAAGAATGCCCCAACCACAGTGGCCAGCAGCCCAGCCAATGCTGGAACCATCAATAGGTTCTTTAAACTGGAGCTCAATGAGATATTACCCATGGAGCCCTGGGGCTGAGCATGTGAAGTTCTTGACTAAGCCTGCCCCCTACTGGAGGTTGGTGTGAGGAGCCGAGACAGGCTGGAGGTTTCATCCCATAGAGTCTATGTCTATGATAGACACCAGGCCTGGTCAAATTATATTATTCAGCTATTGAAATATGTTCAGCTTGACTTTCTGCCCCAAGGCAGCTCGCAACAATAATTAAAAATGCAATAATAAAACAACAATATAAGTTTAATTATACATATAGACCCATGTCACCTTAAAGGGACAGGGAAACAGGCTGCCCACATTACTCAGCATCCATGTAGCCATTTTCCAGGTCACTTGTGCCTAGGAAGAATTGCCTTTGGGTGACCAGGCAAAGACTCCCATTTTGTCTTGGAAGAGACGACCTCTCCCTTCTCCTCCTATCAATGACCAACAGGGGCACATGTGGATAGCACAAAAGGACTATTGTCCTCATGCCTCACTTGAGGGCTTCTCCAAGAGTCTACCTGGCCACTGTTGAGAAGGCCAATGCCTTTAAGTTCTGCTTATGGGCTTCCCAGAGGAGATAACTGGTTGGCTGGAGTAAATGGGCTCTTAGTTTGGTTGGGGGGGGGATGTCTTCTTGTGTCCCCTTGCAAGAATTTCTGGGCAAGACTGAGCCCTAACTCTCACTGAAAACATACTGCTTTTACCTCCCTCCCCATGTCCCTTTGTCTCCCAGGAGCAAATGGGAGGCTCCAACACTTCCCATTGTGGAAATGATGCACTGCTGGGGGCTTCGCTGGTAGTAGGAAGTTGAAGGGGAGGGGAAATGGGTGCAGAAGAGAGAACAGGTGGGGAAAACCCCTCATGCACATAATTGTTGGTTCTCTCTGCTGCTGACCTAAAATATTCTTCTAGATTTATTGCTGGCTGTTTTTGAAAACTCTTTATCCAACCATATCCCTCAATTTTATACCACTGTCAGCTGCAATTTCCCCTTTCTTTCGGCTAAACTGGACAAACCAAAAAGGAAGGAAGCCGCAAGGCGTGATGCATGAGAAATCTGTAATGTTGGGAGAACAATGAAGGCTGTCTGATGATTTGGGTCGCAATCAAAAACTGGAGGAGGAGGAGAAGCCAAGGCCAGCCTTCTGTAGCAAGTCACTAATCACACATTAGAGCTCTGAAAGTCTATGTGGCACTGAACACTTGAACAAACAAGTATTTGTTAACACAAACGACTGAAACGTTCCAAGCACTTCTTCGCAAATTAAACTGGTAACATCGTTCCTCAAAAATATCTCTTGCTGCTTGCCACAAGAAAGCAATGAACCATCATGGTCTAAAAAAAAAAAGAAGGCTTGTTTTTTACAGTGGGCTGAAGTCAGTCTCTCTCTCTCTGTGGGTGTCTCTCTCTTTAACAAAGCAAATGTTCATACACACACACACAAACACATTCCCTTCTCCACCAAAAAAGGAAATTATAATATATGGAGATGTTTGACAGCAGGGCTAAGAATCTGTGGCCCTCAACATGCTGTTTTACTCCAACTCTCATCAGTCCCAGCCAGCATGCTCAATGGTCAGGGATGACGGCAGCTGGAGTCAATCTTAAGGACCACAAGCTTCCCATCTCAGTTTCTCGATCAAAGGAAATGTGACAACACACAGTTTTTAGAAATTGAGACTATGGCAGGGAGAGAGGAGGAGTTTAACTTTTCCCCACTGCCATGATCTTGACACTCCCAACAGCCATCCTTTCAGTTCACAGAAGCACTTAATTCCCCACCACAGAATTGCACAAGTCTGTAAATAAAACATTACACACACACACACACACACACACACAAATACACACACCCTCCACTACTGAGATAATACATGTGCAATCCAGTACTAGCATTTAAAAATCTGGAAATCCTGCTGAAATCCAAACTGAGTGGAAATCAAGGGATATGAGAATAACCAATTAAAAAATATATATTAACAGAGGGAATCCAATCATCCCGATTGAAAACCAGTCATCCAAACATGGGAAGCAGTTTTCTACCTAGTCGGATTGTTGGTCCATCTGAGCCAGTGCTGTGCACTCTGACTTGCAGATGTCCTTCAAAAGCTTTCTCAGCCTGCTACCATAATCTTTTAAGATGGAGATGCTACGGACTGAATCTGGGGCTTTCAAGGTTGAAACCAAAAGGTGTGTCTTTTAAGTTTTACGTTGTTACAGGCCAGCCTCTGCTGCCAAGCTGAACTTGTGACTGCAGGCAGGCAAATGTTCAATGTAAATAGCTGAGAGGTATCGAAGACAATGGGGAAGCTATAAGAAATAAATGTAAGAAACCAGTCTTCTCCAGCTCCAAAACTCATCAATCAGTACCACTCTGCCTAACCCAGGCTTCCTCAACCTCGGCCCTCCAGATGTTTTTTGGCCTACAACTCCCATGATCCCTAGCTAGCAGGACCAGTGGTCAGGGATGATGGGAATTGTAGTCTCAAAACTTCTGGAGGGCCAAGGTTGAGGAAGCCTAGCCTAACCATTCACCTAGCTTCCACAGGTGACCAGGAATTTCATGCTGATGACCAACCAAGCGGGCCAGTGGAGGAGGAGCAAATGCCTTGGTCATTTCTCAGCCAGCCCACTTGGTAGAAGGCACACTTTTTACTAGCCTGCCAAGAGGTGAATAGCCTGCTCATTCCTTCTAGCTGTCGAGGTCAGTACAGTGGTACCTAGGGTTACAAACACTTCAGGTTACAGACTCTGCTAACCCGGAAGTAGTACCTCAGGTTAAGAACTTTACTTCAGGATGAGAACAGAAATTGTGCGGCGGTGGCACGGCGGAAGGCCCCATTAGCTAAAGTGGTACCTTAGGTTAAGAACAGTTTCAGGTTAAGAATGGGCTTCCGGAATGAATTAAATTCTTAACCAGAGGTACCACTGTATGCATATATTAGGGGCACTGTAGATACAAGACATCCTGTTTGGAAGAGAGGGACTGACAAAATGATACGGTGCCTTGATTCCATACAGCTGATTCTGTTGCAAATTATTCAAAAGCCACCTAACAATATAGATTTTGCACCTTCTGTTTCAATTTCACTATCATGGGTCAGGTGGACAACTTCACCTTTTTGCTTTCTGTCAACAGCTGTGGAGAACCTTTTGATCCCTAAATGATCTTGCCTGCTCTATGGTTGTCCTCCCCCCCCCCCCAGTATGTGTACAGAGAGAGAGAGTTAGTTTGTCTTCCAGAATTCTCCAGCTATTTGCAGCCCTCATTTGACAAAATGACCCTCCAGGGATCCTACGACCTAGACAGGGTTCTCATCCGTAAAGTATTGTATCTGTAAGCAAAATGAATTTGGAAGGAAGAGGCTCCTGGATTCCCTGACTCTGCCGTGGTTCATTTCTCTCTCACTCTCTGCAAACGTCCTGCACACTGGCTGGAGAGAGTTGGAGTACTGATGAGGAGGGGGGTGGAGAGAAGCAGCCCGGTCACATCAGCGTCAGTGACATCATTAGTTCAGCTGTCGCATCCAATTGTGGAGCCGGCTCATCACGCAGGAGACGCTCCAGTTTTCCGACTGTCTACCCCTTTTGCATTTCCTCCCTTGTTAGGAGACATTTAATAAGGAACTAGCAAGTGACCCTACACTGAAAATTGGCCAAGGCTGAACATTATGATTCCAGATGCTTTCTGACAAGAACTTGAGAGCAACTTATCGAGGAGGGGAGGTATTTTGCTCGCTCAGGCCACATGAAGAGAGGAACCAGCATGTACTGAGCATACACTACCTCTTTCAAACAGAGGGGGACGGACGGCAGGAACACACCATTTCTTGGAGACAAAATGCTTACAAAGGGTGTAAGCCAGAGTTCCCCATAATTCACCCACAGAGTTGTCCTTGTGGGTCTCTGCA